CCAATATGTTCGATATGGTCAACCTGACACGTATGGAGGACCTGTCCAATATGTTTAGTATGTTTGATATGGTCGACCTAACATGTATGGAGGACCTGTCCAATATGTTCAATATGGTCAACCCGACATGTATGGAGGACCTGTCCAATGTGTTCAGCATGTTTGATATGGTCAACCTAACATGTATGGAGGACCTATCCAATATGTTCAGTATGTTTGATATGGTCAACCTGACATGTATGGAGGATCTATCCAATATGTTCAGTATGTTTGATATGGTTGACCTAACATGTATGGAGGATCTATCCAATATGTTCAGTATGTTTGATATGGTCAACCCGACATGTATGGAGGACCTGTCCAATATGTTCAGTATGTTTGATATGGTCAACCTAACACGTATGGAGGACCTGTCCAATATGTTCAGTACGTTTGATATGGTTGACCTAACATGTATGGAGGATCTATCCAATATGTTCTGTATGTTTGATATGGTCAACCTGACATGTATGGAGGACCTATCCAATATGTTCAGTATGTTTGATATGGTCAACCTAACATGTATGGAGGATCTATCCAATATGTTCAGTATGCTTGATATGGTCAACCTAACATGTATGGAGGATCTATCCAATATGTTCAGTATGTTTGATATGGTCAACCTAACATGTATGGAGAACCTGTCCAATATGTTCAGTATGTTTGATATGGTCAACCTGACATGTATGGAGGACCTATCCAATATGTTCAGTATGGTCAACCTGACATGAATGGAGGACCTGTCCAATATGTTCAGTATGTTTGATATGGTCAACCTGACATGTATGGAGGACCTATCCAATATGTTCAGTATGTTTGATATGGTCAACCTCACATGTATGGAGAACCTATCCAATATGTTCAGTATGTTTGATATGGTCAACCTAACATGTATGGAGGACCTATCCAATATGTTCAGTATGTTTGATATGGTCAACCTGAGATGTATGTCCAATATGTTCAGTTTGTTTTTTTACAAATATTATATATCATTGAGGTTTGAAGACAAGGTCTTTCATCAAATTCTGCTTATGTACTGTTGATAAAAAGTACATCAGATCAAAACAACAATATAAAACAGCAAATTTATGTTTGAAATAGTGTTTCAAAAATGTTGTTTTGGAATTAGATTAAAAATAATAAAACCGAAGATACAGATAAGTACAGTATTAAATGAAAGGTTAAAATTAATTACTGTATCATCGTGAGAACTAAACAGCATAAAGGTTATTTACAAACTGAAAAATAAAAACTTCAATTAACTAAACACATTACCCTCTGTAAGCTTCAGCTCAAACAAAACAAGGAAAAAGAAAAATAGCCACATGCAGAATTAACATCAACCCGGGTGGAAATTATGAAAAGCTGTTAACAGGAGTTAAATCTGTATGGAAGAAAAAACTTTCAATATAAACTATTCATTGTTCTTCAAACTTACAAGAACAGTAACTGCTGGGTTCATATCTCAGAGCAGTAATTTTGAAATATGTAACACCAGTATTAATTGTCATGGTATTTATTCACCTACAAAGTTGATGTTTTTAAGAGCTTTCACCAAATTTACCTAATTCTTGTAGGTATATTTTGTTTTTATAAAAGTCTTGGTCAGTTTAGTGCTTTCTTTAATTAAAAAAACGAAACATACATAAAATTATTTGCCAATCTTTCTGAAGGCGTAACGGGTACAACGTAACGAAACATTTTTTATGTCGTTACCGATGCACTCCTATCTCTGTACTTTTATTCATCTCAAAGAGATGGAAATAAGTGTTGAAGATAAATGACGTAAGAAAAAAAACTGACCTTAACCAGCCACAGAAGCTTTAATGAAAATCTTCTGAACATACCTCGGCCAGAAAGATTAAGCCATCCCAAGTCATCTTACATACTGAGTTCTTATGGACTCCATCTTTCCCTTCCAGTTCAGACTGACGAGTAATCCCTCTTCCCACACGATCAGGTATTTCAGTACCATGTTGAAGACCCCAATTAAAGGATGCAGGGACGGAATGGGGTACTGGCTGCTCTCCTCTATCTTCACTGCAATGCTATAAAATGTACGCAAAAATCTGGATTTATAAGTTACTTTTGTTACTGATATTCATGCTTCACAAAATATACCAAATGGGTACATTCATTGCATTTGGTAATTATAACAGCTAAGCCAGATGAAGGGCATATACCTGAAACACGGTTAATAAAAGATGTTTTTCGGTTTAGAATATCTCTTGCAAAAATCATGTTACATAGTACTTTGTGCTATCTACAAATGTTGTAAAGATTAACAGCTTTATAAACACATATTAAGTAAGAAAGACGAAACACAAATTTACAATAATGTGAAATTAATTACCTGACTAGTTTTGATGTTAACAGAAACTAATAACTTTCTAATATGTCAAACAAATAAATATATAGTCAATGTTCAGCAATAGTACAGTCAGGCCAAATGTAAGAGTACTAACAAGAAACAGTAAAACAAGTAAAATTTCAAACTATAAAAATAACAATTACAGTTCTTAAAGTTCTGTTTGATTGTTTGGATTTCCCGCAAAACTACACGAGGACTATCTGTGCCAGCTGTCCCTAATTTAGCAATGTGAGACTAGAGGGAAGGCAGCTAGTCATCACCACCCAACACTAACTCTTGGGCTACTCTTTTACCAACGAATAGTGGGATTGACCATCACATTATAACACCTCCACGGCTGAAAGGGCGAGCACGTTTGGTGGGACGGGGATTCGAACCAGCGACCCTCAGATTGCGAGTCGAGTACCCTAACCACCTGGCCATGCCAGGCCAGTTCTGTTTGAAACATCCAAAGTTTGAAAATCAAAGGAGTTGAAATGTGAGATCATTGCAGTGATCGTTGAAAACATACAACTAATGAAAAATCTGCTTTTCAAAGTCACCTATTTCATTGAAAACTTTAATTTAAAATACCCGATTCAAGTTCAAGACACTTGAGCTGTATCTAGATTTTAAATATTTTTGAAGTTCTGCAGAGTAAATATGGTTGCAAGTGTCAAAAAAAAAATTTTTTTTATATTTAGTTACAGCCATGTCACTAACAATAGCTAATATCCAATTTTTATGGCAAGTTTTGTTAGATTAAAAATTCTTAGTTCAAACAAACCTAAGGTATCAAGTTTCTATCACTTGTGGTTTACAACCAATGCAGATCAGAATGTTGTGAAATAAATACTAAACATTTTTTATCAGTACATCAACTTAAGTATTAATTTTAAGCAATGCAGTGTTAAAAAAATTGTTAAATTAAAAAAGAAAATTACTGACTTTTCTTTGTCAAGTTATCAAATACAAAGTTGAAGTCAAATATCAAGTAGTTTGTCGTAAGAGTTTTATTTCTGTTTGAACTAAGTCAAATTACCATTCACCATATAATTATCAAAATACATTTTTTCAAAGAGTTTAACACTTATTTGTGCATGCTCTGTACGTAAAAACTTGAGACTTTCACAATTATAATGGATACAAAACTAGAAGCAACTTGTTTTGGTAACAAAATTTATGTAATTTGGGAAGTTATGTTCCTGTTTAGCTACAAATGATATATCTTGTTACTTTTTGTAAAGGTGGACATTAAAACATACTAACATGATACTCACTTCCCATGTTTCCAACATAAAAATCCATGATTCAAACATACTAACATGATATCACTTCCCATGTTTTCAACATTAAAACCCATGATTCAAACATACTCTAACATGCTTCCAACATAAATGTCAAACAATACAAAATAATGTATTATTTTCATTAACCACAACTCTTATTTAAACGTTATATAACACAAAATAACGTTTTCATTATTTAAACATCATATATAAACATTACACAACGTACAATATTCCAGTTTTTCATTATTCATGCATTTGATATAAACATCAATACAGCTTACTGCAGTGTTTTTATTATTCCCTTTTCTGATCTAAATGTTAAATAATATACCTGTTGAGATTTCTGCTGTTGTTTGTTGGTAATGGACTTGCATTCCTTTACAATGTTTCCCATTTTATAACAAGCATAGCATCTCTTCTGTCATTTAACCTCCTGTCACCTTTGGTAAACTCTTGCTTCTGGTCAGCCATTACTGCTGGACATTCTTGGACTTGCCAGTTATACTACCTCCATGGGCTTCTGCCAGCTTGATCATCTCGTTTACGTCTTTTGGCATCCTCTCCTTTAGGAACAGTGACATGTCAGTTGAACATGTGGTAATGAACTGTTCGCATACTAATAGGTCAGTCCATCTGGTGAAATATTGCCACAGACGTGCCACAAACTGAAATACAGTTTCTCCAGTGTCAGGTTTGACTCCTCTGAACTTCCTACGAAAACCTTTTTCAGTAAGTTCGTATTGTTTCAGTAAAGCCACTTTTACTTTGTCATAACCCATGCCATCTTCTGATGTCGTGCCTGCAAGTACTTGTAGGCCTTTTCCTGTGAGAAATGGGCTGAGACAGACTGCCCAGTCGCCTCTGTCCCAGTTCTGACTTTGGGCAAATCTTTCATATCTCTCCAGGAAAGCATCCATGTCATCTTTATGTTCATCAAATTTGGGCAGCTTCAGTCGGCTGGCCCTGACTCCAATGTCATTTTTGGGTCCTTCTTCCTTCGGGTGGGTTATTTTTACTATCTTAATTTGTACTCTTATTCTTTATCTTTCTATTTCCAGTTTTTCCTTTTTGTCATTTTCTTCTCTCTCTCAGTTTGTATCTTTTTTTTCTGTTGCCGTTCTTCTCTCTTTAGTTCTTGTTATTGTTTAACAAACTCTCGTTGTTCACTGTCTTTTAACCCAGGTTGAGATCCTCTTTGTACTCATTTATCAAAATCAACTGACATGGTTGTATAGCGTAATTGTAATCTCTACACTATTTTCATTACTACAACACTTGTGAGAATTTAGGCCTACTTATTTCCGCTGTCGTTCACGTTTTCTTCTATCGTCGTTTACCACTGTATAATCCTGGCTGTGGCTCACCAATTGTCAGAACTTAAAATAGAATTCTTTTTGCCAATTATCAAAATAAAAGGCTTTTATTTATAATTCTTAATAGTAAAATATATATATTAAGTTGTTGTTAGGCTTAGGATTATTCTACAGTAGGTGTCTGTGACTTGTTAACGATAAATTCAATGATGAATAAACGGCACTCACTTCACTTGTTTTCAAAATAATATATATATTCAGTACAAGTTAACGTACGTACAATAAATTCTTCAACACTATAGATATTATGGGCATATCATAAATACTATATATGTAGTTCTCTCCTTGTCAAATATCCACTTAGGCCTATTCAATTACTTTAGAATTTCAGTTGACAAGCCGAACTATCTTCTCTATTACCATTGCACTAGTACTCTGTGTGTGATTCACTTACAACTGTGACACGATAAACATTTTGTTTTCCTTCTTCTAAATATCTTCTGTTCCTTTTGTCAAAGTACACTCAGACTGATTCAATTACTTTAGAAACACGTTTTTACGGAATAAATTATTTACAGTATTACACTCTAACATATTAAATGTTAGGCCTATCACTTTTACGGTAGTTAACTTCACGTTAAACTTCTCCTTGCCTGTAACTATACTCTTTTTTTGCTTATGTGTGTCTGCTGTTTCCGCTCTTCTCATACTGATTATATGTTTATCACTTAATCATCTGGCCTTCTAGAAATCTCTATATTCTCGATGTCAATGTATTGCATGCAACATTGAATAGTCTCAACATCAATGAATTATAAACAAAACTTCCTACAATTGTCTGCTTTTAACTGTAATTATAACAAAACTAAACAATCATGAAATATTCAATCACAAAATAAATAAGAATAATACCTACACCAAACAGTCTTTTATATCATGACAATACCAAAGCGTTTTTCATTCATCAACACCTTTGATCTAAACACTAAATAATAAGTCATATTGTAGTTTTTCATTCATCAACACCTCTGATCTAAACACTAAATAATACAGGATACTGTAATGTTTTTAACAATTTACACCTTTGATATAAACATGACAATACACAATATACTAGTTGTTGTCATTTTTCACGCGTCTGATCTAAACATTATGGAATATTCTAATAAGCCATGAGTTAAAAAAAGAAGAATGTGTTATAATACATCAGCTATATTACATCTTCGACATCCAGTGTTTATGGGACCTCGTGTTTAGTACCAGGGCTAATCAGGCCATTTAGGATACAACTGACATAATATTGTTCTAAGCACTATATTATATATATACATCTAAACAATCTTCCTGAAAAACAAGTGTTATAATTAAGAAAGTGAATTGTAATTATTATCAATTTCATTTAAGCCATTTATATATCAGATTTTCAGGGTAAAACTTAACACACACTATTGTTTATTCATATTTATTACGATAGTATGCCGTATCCACAACTCTAATCCATTCAATGGTAAGTTTGGGTATTAATTATTCCTACTGAAGGTTTCTTTTTTTTTTTTAATTTACACAGGTAATACAAGAATACTCTTTCAAACTTTTGATTAAATTTACACAGGTAATACAAGAATACTCTTTCAAACTTTTGATTAAATTTACACAGGTAATACAAGAATACTCTTTCAAACTTTTGATTAAATTTACACAGGTAATACAAGAATACTCTTTCAAACTTTTGATTAAATTTACACAGGTAATACAAGAATACTCTTTCAAACTTTTGATTAAATTTACATTGGTAATACAAGAATACTCTTTCAAACTTTTGATTAAATTTACACAGGTAATACAAGAATACTCTTTCAAACTTTTGATTAAATTTACACAGGTAATACAAGAATACTCTTTCAAACTTTTGATTAAATTTACACAGGTAATACAAGAATACTCTTTCAAACTTTTGATTAAATTGATAATAAAGTACAAAGTCTACAATTATCTAGTGTTTTAGTTACCTTGAGACCTCCACATCTCCGGCTAAGTAGCCTATTGCGTCTCTCAGCCCATCTCTCTCTCTCAGTTTGGTCATGGTCATTTAATCCGAAGAAAGATACCGTTTCCTTCTTTACATATCTAAAAATGGAGTCAGGTATACAGTTATGTTCATAATGTAAACGTAAAGTCATACAAACTTTTCTAACTTTACATAACTAGGTGTACATTATTCATGTCAGAAAAATATGTAGGTTCGATAAGTGTTGATACAAAAACCCTATAATCCAAGTCCTTCCGAAAGGTGGGCCTTTCTTCTTTTATAGAGAATTTGGCATACAGAAACATAAGAGGACACATGCTGTAAGATAAGAATACTGGTGTTACAGAGAGATCCGAGCGTGATCGCTGAGGAAAGCAGGCTGTTGTGACAAGTACTAACAACAAACTCTGAAGTTCAAAGTTAGGAGATAATTTCCACCGTGTGAAACAAAAAACTGATTTCCAGGTTGACATTTAATCTCAACATTACAGAGCTTCAAAAAAAGGGGCCAAAAAAGATGCCTGAATATGAATAGCAAAACCTCATTAATTTAGTGATGGACAATTCAGAGTACTCGCAGGGTGGATGAATATACACGAATATAAACGAATCTTCACAACGGGAAATTTAAGCAATAATCTCTATAACCACATTCTGAATTAGAACATCTTTTTCTAAAACATCCACTTTTTATGATCAGTAAACCACACAAGACACCTCGAGTTAAGTAGGGATCAATTAGAACAAAAACGTGTGCACTTGCAGTGGGTACCAATTTATGACATGTTCCTGGGAATGGCCTTCTGTTCAGAAAGTATCAGTTCACGATATTTTTCACGCGAACAACTGTCACAATAGGGATATACATATAAACTATAACAAATATATAAACTAAGCCTCAAAAGTGACGTTTTTCTCAGTCATAAAATATCGTCCACAACTACTAAAAGACATGCCTGATTAAGCAACTGCTTGCTACGAGTTATTATGGGACAAAAAGTCTTTCAGCTTTAAGATTAATAACACATGGGGGGCTTGTAGGTCTATATGCTATTAAGTAATAATATACACAAATTCAATGTTTAGATTTTGAATCTTAAAAGAGGATCCATTTGATTCTTATGACTTTTTATATTGTGTGTAACAGAGGCAACTCAGAATCCTCATAGTTTTATTAGTTGATTATTTTATATGTCTTCAATAATTATACAGATTTAACAACAAAAGTGGCATATTGTCATTATCTTCACGCAAATCGTGATTTCATCGAAACCAGTGACTTACAGAATATAAAATACCTAGTACGTATATTTCTTTCTTGTATAAACAGACGCCACATTTTAATTACACTGGTATTTCTGTGCAGAAGATATTAAAAGGACAGGGGGTTCATTGACTTGAGGGGAGGTTTATTATATATACAGTTTGCATGCCCACTTTTGCTAGTTTTCACCTTTAACCTTACTGATCGATAACTACCGACAGAATCGACTATCCAGATGAACTACTACATCACGAATGTTTCAATTAAAGATGTATTAAATTAATACTTCTGATTCATATTTCTAATGGACTTCAATGAGATACCTGTTAAAAGTATTTTGGTTTCTGAACTGATAAGTTTGATTAGTAACTTTAATATTGAAAGTATTAAATATTAGCTTTACAAACATAAGCCAAACTTGTCTTTAGCAGATATATTTCTTTCTCAGAAGTACTAGCTTATGAACTAACGTATTTCTTAGGATCTTTAATTAATATTCCCATTGATTCTAACATTTCCTTTTTCTACTGGTTTTGCTATCACCACTAATCAGAGTGGGAGTACTGAACAAACCAATAAAGTCACAGAATCCTAATCTTACTTCACCAATAGCCTTGAAGTTATCGACCGATGAACAGAAATCTTTTATAACCATAATCAACTATTGGTTTAAGGAAGAAGAAAATAAAAACCTCGAAGAATCCAATTAGTTTGGCAAAGTTTGCTCCAATGAGCCTAACCAACTTGAGTTAAAAAGACAACAAAAATGTGATTTCTCTCATTGCCTATCTCATGTACATTTTTTAACGAGTAGTATTGTTAAATATACATGAAAATTGTCTGTCGATTAGAACCATCTTTCTTTTTAACATACAAAATTGTCACATTAGCTTAGCAAATCAACATTACAGATTTATATAATATATATATATAAGGCTAGTAAATAACTAAGTCAGCAAACAAACACGTCCACTTTCTTTGAGATATTTTTCTTATAAAACTATATTGAAATGTACTTTTGTTTTGCAAAAATGCTGTTTCATGCTATTTATAAGAAACAGTTACCTCGAGCGTGAAGAAGACATTGCCCGTCTAGCAGCCAGTTTGCCATTTCTGTACGTTTAACCAATTTTCATTATATACAAAATAACATAATTAATACTATAATTATTTGTCAATAACACTTACTCTTTCACAGATTTTGAACGTGCTAAAGCTTTTTGTTTCATGGACTGTTGCCTGGAGACTGGCCTCTGCTCTTCAGAATGATACCTCATGGGTGGCCTAGGTGGCACAATCCCCTGTCTGTCTCCAACGTACATGGGGTTTTCAATAACTGTGGTTAATTTTGGAGTATTATCTTTATGTTGTTTTTGGTCAGTGTTTTTTAGACATGCCGCCTGATCCATTTCGGCACAGGGTATCAGCTATAATTTATGAAAGAGAAAATTAACAATCATACAAACCTCTTAATCAATAAAAAGTAAATTTAGTAAGAAACATGATACATAAGAAATAAATGGATGTATGATGTGGGAATTAAATCACCAAAAAAGTTTATTTACACAAATCCGCACTAAGAATACACCTAGTCTCTCAAGAGTTCATGTGCATTTTCCTCTTTACAACTTCCCCAAAAAACGAAGAAGTGAACCAGTACTAGATAAACATCTATGTTACCTAACCAACACCAATTTACGTCCAGATAAGACATCCATCTTTACACAGTTAATTAGATATTGAAATTTTGTTTTTACAGGTTTTAATATTAAGTCTTAAAAATTACTCAGTTTGTGAAATAATGTGTTTTCATATTGTGATTTCATTCCAACTGAAAATATATCACAAGACCATGTACGATACTCATTTATAAACAGTTGACAAGAATAAATGTAATATTTACATGTTTAGGTTCATAGAGCTAAATTGTCATTTGTTGGACGTAATCTTGTTTAACATAATCTTGTAACATATCTACACACTTTCTAATATCTTTAATGTAAGTAGTAATATTTAACATAATCTTGTAACATATCTACACACTTTCTAATATCTTTAATGTAAGTAGTAATATTTAACATAATCTTGTAACATATCTACACACTTTCTAATATATTTATATTTCTTCACAATATGATTCTAATAACATTTCTGCACTTTTTCTAATATCTTTACACTCCTTCACAGTAACATATCTGCACTCTTTCCAATATCTTTACACTCCTTCACAGTAACATATCTGCACTTTTTCTAATATCTTTACACTCCTTCACAGTAACATATCTGCACTGTTTCCAATATCTTTACACTCCTTCACAGTAACATATCTACACACTTTCCAATATCTTTACACTCCTTCACAGTAACATATCTGCACTCTTTCTAATATCTTTACACTCCTTCGTAGTAACTTTTCAATATGTTGACAGTATGCACAGTTTGTAAATGAAGTTTCAACACCATCTTATATATGGTTACAAAAACTTTTATTTTTAAATTCAACTTTTTTAGAAAACTTATTCTAGTACTCTTGCCAGCTCTTTTTTTTACTACATCTAAACCCTCAGCTGAAGGCTTCAAGTTTCTAGCAACAATCACACCTAAACCTTTCTCTTTTTTTCAACTCAAAACAAAAGCTCTTTTCACACACACACACAAAAAAAGTAAATAAGATTTTAAACACGTGATAAAGGTAACAAACGGGCATCTGAACCATCAAGGTCGACCCGTTATCTACAAGAGCAACCAACGTAAGCATCGAACCCAAATGTAGTCCTTAACATTTTATATATATACAATTAAAGAACTGAAACTAAGGGGACAACACATCATCAAGCAAATCTTTCAACAAGTTTACCATTCTTTCTTCTGGATTTAGGCTCCTAAATTATTATCCCTTCCATTCCTTGTCATTTAACTAATCAACATTATTACTATCAAGCAAATTATCCAAGATCTTGATAATTTCAAACAAATGAATCATGTCATCTCTCTAGTCCAAGGAAAAATAAAGTCTCTAAACATATTTAAATAATCAGTATTTTTTAAACTGGCTACGACTGTTAACAGCCAATCTATAAAAGCTTTCCAACACACTGACATTTTTACGTAATAGAGGGAACACGATACTCAAACTTTAGATACCAACTTTTACTTGTGTCAATGCATAACTAAACATGTCACATAACACCACACAGTAACTATGTCTAGAACTACCATTTGGAACCACATGGATCCCATCAAATTTTTAAACATGTTTTTCTAAGCTATTTATACACCATCTTGGTTGTGGGTTCATGACTTTTGTGGTTACACATTTCCAAATAACATCCGAGTCATACATAAAAAGTTAATCAAAAATATCAACAATGCTACAGGTGCTAGATCCAATTAAATGTTTAAATATTATATCAATTTAATAAAACACTGAAAAAGTGGTATTTTTTTTATACAAATAACTATATATTATTCGTCCTTTCCAGACTTCAAGTTCAACAGAGCAGCTATGAAGACTTTCCACTGTCTTCAGTCTTTTCTTTCCAGACCTCACGTTTAACAGAGCAGCTATGAAGACTTTCCACTGTCTTCAGTCTTTTCTTTCCAGACCTTAAGTTTAACAGAGCAGCTATGAAGACTTTCCACTGTCTTCAGTCTTTTCTTTCCAGACCTTAATTTCAACAGAGCAGCTATGA